TTCTTAGATTGAGGTATAAAAACATTATATTAAATATACTCTATAGAAATGTTTTTTTCTAACCATTTGATCTTACATGCAACCAACCTAGATGAGACTAAACTTTTGAAAAATCGGTTTTTGGTGCTAGATAAGGCTTTCATGTGCTCACCTTTGCTCTTGACTTTGGTTTGATCATGGAACAACACCATTTACAGAACATGCAAGATGTTTTTGGTGGTGATCTTGTAATGCCCCAAAAATACGAGCCAAAAATTTCATTTTTGAAAACATATACTTAGCAAAACATTCGAATTAAAACGTTTACTGATCATAGCATTTTATAAAGATATCACATGTCTGGAACACATTTCATAAAACATAATAATGTCATATTACAAATCCCCAGGAAGATCTCATGATGCGGAATACGAAACAAGTGTGTGATGGGCCGGTACAACGCCAGCTCCTTCCCCTTCGAAGAAGAGGTACCTGAAACCAAAACTGAAAACTATAAGAACAAAGCTTAGTGAGTTCCCCCATCATACCGCATACCATACAATCACATATCATACATATTGCCAGGCATTTCTGGGGTGCCCAACCTACCCGGTACGGCTATTTTGGGGTACCGACCTACCCGTGTCAAGCTATTCTGGGGTGCTGACTACCCATGTCAAGCCACTCTGGGGTGCTGACTACCTATCGGTCCTGACGATCGAACCTCGGGGACTATTTCACCCCCTACTGCTACTATCACATATATCATAACATAACATATTATCAGACATATATTGGGTGCCTAAACTACCCTTCGGTCCTAGCAACCGAACTCGGGGATTGGTCCCCTCCTACTACCTCTATCGCATATAACATAACAAGCCAGCATGCAAACATATAATCACATACTGTCAGTCGTATCAGGGGTGTCTGACTACCCTTCGGTCCTAACAACCGAACTGTACTACTATCACATATAACATATCATGCTAGCATATAACATATCAGGTAGTAGAAAACATAGATGATATCACAAAGACAATCATCTATCATACATCTCCTACTGGTGGGCCGGCATTGTGGCCTTAGACTCACCGCTACTGGAAGGTAACTCACCTCGTAGCTGCTGATCTGTGTGGGAATAGTCTGTCTGCTGCTGCTGCTGCTCTGGAAATCCTCCGGCTGCAATTCCCACCAAACACTTAGTCAAATATTGCTAACCGCCCTCAGGGTAAATTGCCCATTTACCCTTAACAAGTCATGAGTTAAGTCATAGTAAACTGCCAGTTGACCAGACTCGCTGAGTTGGCTTGCAGACTCACCGAGTCCCTTTCTCTATACCCAAGTCTTAATAGTCCTGCATCCTACTCGCTGAGTTGTATGAACAACTCGCCGAGTTCGCCTTCATCCGAAGAACACTCTACGTTGTGACTCGTCGAGTCTGTTCTTGATCTAAGAAGATTGTGTTGAACTCGCCAAGTCAGGTCATTGACTCGCCGATTTCCTTCATGGATGAGTTCGGCTTCCAACTCACCGAGTCCACCCCGGACTTACTACACTACTCGCCATAACGAAAAGGGGGAAAACTTGGGGACTCGCATCTCGACTCGCCGAGTCCGATGAACGACTCGCCAAGTCGTTACCATGCAATTACTATATGGTTGATTCTGCTCGAATCCAGCTCATGCCAAACATAGATCCGTGATCCTGGGGCTTGATTTACACGTAAAGTTTCCAACTTTACGTGTAAATAGGCAACCATGAGAGTTTTAGGGTCCAAAATGCATCAAAAGGATAGATCTAGGGCTTTCATGTAATATGGTTCCAAAAAGATAGTAGATCTGAGCTCCTGGCGCTCAACCATGCCTAGATCTAAAGGTTAATCAGCTTATTACGAACCCTCAAACCTACCCAAGCTTGGAAATGGTTCAATAAGGACTTTAATCGAGTTATAAGGGACAATAAGCATGAAGACAAGGGGAAAACGAGGTATACCTTAGGGAACACACTGAGATAGCTCAATGATTCTTGACCTCCTCTTCTTCTTCTTGATCTACTCTTCTTCCCACTCCAAAACATCAAGAGGACACACCAAATGCTTCAAACTCACAAGGAAACAAAGCTTGGACGAGATATAGGGTTATGAGGGTGAATAGGGGTGAGCTTGGGTCGTACAAGCTAGCTTAAATAGGGAGCAAACCCTTGGAATTAGGGTTTCATCAAATAGCGATGACTCGCCGAGTCCAGGATATGGACTCGCCGAGTCGCCAACTTAAGTGTGCCCCCGGACCGCATCCCAACTCGGCGAGTCAGACCTACAACTTGTCGAGTCCAAGGCTAAAATGACAATTACTTAGATAAATTTTTACGTACCAGGAACCAGGTGCTACAGATCTACAAACATCAAGATCAAACTTTGCGAGAACATGCCTTAGAAATCGAAAGTTTGAAAAAGAAAGTAAGTAGAACTTGTAAAATTTGTTATGGATCCTCAAGAGGTATATGATAAGAACTTACCCTTTGGTATGAAGCTTCAAAAACACCCAAAATAATGCTGAAAATTCGTGGTTGAGGGGCTGATTTTTAGAGAGAGAAAGTGAGGTTTCTAGAGAGAAGGAAGAGATAAATTAAGATTCTATCTCTTTGGATAGACCATCTCTCTCTTCATCTCATTGGGTATGTACTTGATTAAAATCAACCACAAAACTCCAGAAATGTTGGTTAACATCTGAAAAAATCTCCCACAGAAAATGCCTCTCAGGTCGGTTTTGCCCTCTCTATTCTCTCGTCATCTCTTTGGGTCTATACTTCATTGTAAAAATTATCTTTAGTTTTTATAAAAAGTTATAGATATGTTGTATAAGCTTCCAACAGTTTATTTCTTGGTTTTCATTCAAGTACTTTTTTTAATAAGTGCATAGACTTTCATTTTAATTTATAATTGTAGGAATTAATTATTTTGTGATTTAAATTTTCTAAAAAAATCAAATATGTAGTTCATGTAAACGGAATAAGGGTTCATAATATAAGGATGTAGGATTAGACAAACCTTGAATTGTACTTTTGATTCATAAATGAAAGTATGAATTGCATGAACATTGTCTCAAATTGTAATTAGTTCATGTTATGATTTAATTTTGTTCATATTTTCTTCGAATACTTAACCTTGTTAAGCATTTGATTGTTCCAATAGGGAAATTTTGGGTTGATAGCATACCCTTGAGTTGTGATCTATCGAACATAGTTTTGTATTTAGACTTAAGGTTGAACTTTGGCACTTTACCCCATAGTTGGTTCATTCACATGTCAATGTGATTGATCCCTACAAGCTAAGGTACACTAATTATTCTGAAGGATCTACTAAGTCGCAAACCTAGTTCAACTTGTAACTCTAAAGAAAAGTTAAGTGCACACACGGAAATGGTAAGGTTCTAGATGAGTCCTAACTTGAGTTTTGGGAAAACTTATTTGAGCTCAATTGATTGCATGCATCAAACCCCATTCTTTTATTAGAAAATACTTTAATTAAGACATTTTTTTTATGAAAAAACTATCAAACCCTCATTTTGAGTTCAGAAACACCCGAGAGTATGCCTAAATCACTCAAACCAAAGCTCGGATACTAGCTTGTGACGTCCCCAAACTCAAAACCAAAAATTTTGTTTTTATATTAACTAAAACTTTAACCAAATGTGTTTATCAAAACTATAAGGAAATTATAGTGTATCAATAATCATCCAAAATACATCAAAGTCAATATAGTGGAAAATCATGGTGTATGCAATGTGATCATCCCGCGCCCTTCCCCTTCGAACCGGAGGTACCAGAAACATAAACTAAAGTTCGTAAGCACAAAGCCATGTGAGTTCCCTAAAATACCCCATACCATACATACTATGGGTGTTTCCCGACAACCATCGGGCCCTGCTCAGAACAGGTTTGTCAGTATCCTACAATGGGCCCCGCCCATCACACTCATCAGGCTCGTCCAGTCATCGAGCCTCACCTGGTATACATAAAAACAAATAAAGCACATGAAAGAGTCACATAGACATCTAGCTTACAAATAATAATGATCCATGGGCTGGTATTGGTGCCTTCGACCCGCCAAACATTGGGAGGTGACTCACCTCAATCTGTTTAAAAATCAAATAAATACTCAGACTGTTGATCTGGAAAATCCCCGCACTAAATATAATCAAATAGTACCTTAATTAATAATTAGGTCGTAAACCATAACCAAGAGCCTAAGTCCATAATCCGGACTCCTAGTGTAAAAGAACATTTTACCCCTCAAGGATAAACGTATTCAATCAAAGCCCAAACCCTCGAAATGACCCAAAAGCATCATAGGCCCACAATAGTTAGTATTCCCTCACGTACCTAACCTGTACGTCCCACATACTGATGTGACCTCCATCGGGCCTCATAGCCAATGCGCTAAGTGTACTAAGAAATATTCTCGACGTACAAGCCAGAGTCCTATTCCTATAAATCAATGAAGATTGATATATTCTATATTAATAACATGAATTAAATACAAGAACAATGAAGATCAAAAGTGTGTGTAATGCTTGGATTAAAATAGCTCTAGAAGAGTTCTCAAAGATGGAACTTCTCTGTGAGAGCGTACAAATGACACTAGGGTTCAAAAGCATAAACTTAATATGTTACATGCATGCATTATATATAGATGAGACTAAATAGAAGAACTGAGAATGGACAGGCCCTTTTCGGTATTAACAAAACCGTATAAGCACATATTTGACACAACACATAACAAACCTAACAATCTCCCCATTTGTGTCAAATTTAGAAGGAGAGTATTCATTATCTTTGTTGTGCTTTGAACAATTTAGACATTATATTCAGAAGCGATTTTTAGACACATAACTGAACATATCCAAAAAGCATTTGAGGTCGGCAGAGGAGTCCAGTTTGCATGCTTAAACCATAGAAAGAAGAGTCTTCAGAGTAGCTGTAGAATACAGGTGTTTGTCTTGCAAAAAGAACATAATTTTCTAGACTGCTTGTCCTTCTTTTCTATTGTAAATGATGCTCAAATTCTCATTTTGGATAACTCTTACTCTCAGATTTTGAATATCCTTTGGTTTCTCTTCCAATTCTAGAATGGGCCTCTTTTTCAGAATTGATGTGATCACTACATATGTTTTTGCAATTACCAGGATGTAGCAGATGATCATTCTTTTCAAATGCGCTACAATAGGATCATACTTCTTTTCATCTTTCATAACAAGGTTGAACAAGTAGATCCAATCGTATGGGTTCAAAATGGAAAGTCTGCCAAAGTGAACCCATCCATAATATGATTAGCTCCTCTGAATCCCTTGAATTGTATGTTCAGGAAGTTTTCGGTCTGAACATGCAATTTAACCTTTACAACACTTATTTTCTTCAAGCTCCAAGACTTGTACTATGGCTTGGCATACTTTAAGTAAAATGAAAAGACCTTCTGATTAACTGCACTGTCTGAGATCAAAGATTTCTCGATCTTCTCAAAACAACAAAAAAGAAATGCTATAGGTGTGATGGGAAAATCAATTTGAGATTCCATATCATCGTTCATATCAAATGAAATCGAGGGCTCCAGCTAGTAGATACTCGGATCATCAATTGCCTCTTTCTGAATATGCTCGATTGTCCAAAAGGGGAATAAAGACTTCTAATTTTCAAGCATAAGCTTCACATTCTTAGCATCAGCTTCATCGGCTTCTACCTTCTTTCAAAGACCCTGGAGATCATCTAGTCTTTGTCTCGTTTTTCCATGGCAATCCTTTCGAATTCGTTTATATTCAGATTATCCTTAGTCTCATCTTCCAAGATACCTTTGCCTTTATCTTTTTCTTTGCCTGAACCAAAAGGTACATTATCCTTCTGTTCAGTTTTAGTATTTTTCCTGTTGATCCTTAGCTCCCCCTTGTTTCGGAAAAGCCTTCCTTCCCGACATACCTTTAATCTGATTAAGCACAACATAAATAGGTTGGAGCTTTTTTGATAATTGTTGTCGAACTCAGACATCAAATATAGAGTCATGGATCTCAACAAGCCTCATCAGGTAGTCGTTGACCTCATAAATGTACCTTTTAATTAAAGAACTCTCTTCTTCATGGGTGGTTTGTGTTGGGTAGCTTTTTTCAATTTTTCATAAAGGACCTTAGCCTTCTCATCTTTCTCAGCTAACTCATCCATTATCTTATTTTCAATCGACAGGTTTGCTTGCAGTTTTTCAATCTTTAAGACAACAGAGGAAGTAAGTTTAGCATTTTTCAACTTTAATTTCTGAACGAAAAAGTGAGAGTTCCTCCTTGTCATCTTGCAAAGAAGTGAGAAACCCTACAATTATTTTATTTATGGCTTCGGTATTTTATTAGATGAGATTCTGAATTCATCCATATAAGTGGTCAACACTTGAGATAGTTTTTCGACTTTTTTGTTCTTTTTAGAAATGGTCTTTTTAGAAGGTTGAATTTCCTTGGTTGCATCTTCAAGGAATTTGGCATTTGTTATAGTGATCATCTCCACAACGTCTTTGTGGGATGTCAGTATGTATTCCCAGCTGGATGAAGATGAAGATGTGGAAGACTCTAAAAGAGAATCCAGATTTTCATTAAGCTTCTTGAACTGCCCTTTGGTCATTGGCACATCATCATCATCGCTATTGAGGTTTATTGTAAAGGGTCTCAACACAAAATCTGAAATAGGCTCTTGATCATCTCTAAATATGATGTCTTCTTCCTCATTGAAAGGAGAAGTGGGAGAAGTGCCTTAACCTAAAGTTACACTAATGCTGACATTTGCCCAGCATCATATGCGTTAACAGGAATGTTTGAAGCCCTAATCGCCTCCGAAAAGGACTTCACAATCAGAACTTCTAGTGGAGTAGAAACAGATGATGTGGTTGGAGTTGTGGAAATAGTAAAAAATTTTGAGGTTAAAGGGATGGAGATATAAGGAAGATAAATTCCAACTGACCTCATCGGTGGTAGAGGTGGAGGAAATCGGAATTATGGTTGTGATTGGTAAGCATGGTGGAATCATAGAATGAATGGTGTCTGAAGTAGGAACAGATGAAGAAGGTGGAGATGATACCTTTAGAATTGGTTCTGTAAGAGTTGGTTCAGAAGTAGCTGCAATATCTTGCTCCTCATTCTAAAGTGGTTCAACATCTTGAGGCTCTATTAAAGTCCTCTCACCTAACTTGTCTTGACGAACTAGAGATGGAGATCTTGGTTTCTTAGCTTGCTTCTTCATTTTCTTTTGTGCTTTAATAGTTTCAAAAGGAGCTTCTTTTGCCTTTCATTTTCCTCCCCTCTTTGGTTTGTTGCCCTCATTTATTAGCTTTTGTAAGTCAGAAGGCATTGCTTGAACACCCGAAGATGGTAAACTACGATACTCCCTTACTATGGCATTATTGAGAGAAACCTTTTCCAACATATTATCTAGAATTAAGCCAATAAAAGTGAAATTCCTGGGATCCAACATCACAAACATGGAGGTTTGAAGTGTCAGAATTGCTTCCATTACCGAATCAGTCATCAAGGAAACTTTAAAGTGGCTTAGGGAACGATTGACCACAATTGACCAAAATCATGCACAAGAAATCTCAATGTGTTGAGTAGAAGAGACAGTGCTTTATATGAGTTGAGCCCACAGAACAGACCCATAATCGGGATTCACCACATGAAATAGCCCATAGATAAGAATGTAGAAAATATACTTGCATCATCTGAACCTGCAACCCTCTCAGAGAAAGTCTTGAACAACAGGGTGAACAACCCATTCTACATTGGGTAATAGAAGGGTTTCCTGAACTTAGACAACAAAGAGATGTCGCCATTGTATCCTATTTGATAAAACATCATGATCAAAGCCGTGGTTGGAATCGATTTTAGATCCACATTAACTTCCGGTAAAGTGAGCCTTAGGAGTCTGCTAAAATGGGGCTTAATGATGGAGGACTTGTGAGAAACTACCTCAAAGTGGATGGCATCTTCTACTTTTTTGTAGACAGCAGATGAATAAGCCTTTGAGAGATGAACCAGTGGAATAAATTCCGCCATTGTTAACGCTTGAGACAGTGGCGATGATTGTTAACGCTTGAGACTGTAATGCGATGAATCAAGATCAAGAATCAAGTTTTCGCTGTGCTTCACGGTGAGCATGATGAAAAATGTTGATTCATCAGCAAAGGAGATGTTCTCAGATAAACCTGCCATGGATGATTTGAGGAAGACAATGAACATTTGAGAGAAATTAGTTTTTGCTTTGAGGGTTCTGTGAATTGTGTTTGTGGTGTAGAAAGTAAACCACCCAAAACCATTTTATACGGTATGTGATGAGTGGTGAGAGAAAACTATCATTCCATATTCCTGTATGCCATAAAATTAGCCTGTAGAATCGTGTCAGCTCATCAATTAATGTCAGACGTTGTTGTAATAGACACGTGTGTGTCAGGGCATTCAAAAGTCACGCCTGATTTGAATTTTCATCTTTTGAAATACCACCATTTCGGAATTGACACATTCAAAATAATAAAACGAATCACCAGCTTTCAAACGATGACCTATTCTCAGAATTAAAGTAACCAATCGGAATTAGAATCAGATATTGAAAAATCACAAGGATTTTTGTGCAAGAGTGTGCCAAAAATAAAGAAATAAAGCAAATATAATTTTAGGGATTCGGTGATGTCAAACAAGATTGACATGAAAATCAGATGGATCTTGGGCAACGATATCTAACTTCTGAGTCAAGAGAGACTCCGAAGTACTTGTGTGGTTTCCCGTTAAATTACGATCATCAGTTTACTGAGAAATAGTGAAAGGCTTCTTTTAGTAGGCTTTAAAGGTGGCTTAAGCTTCATCAAGATTCCGAAATTCAACATAAGTACAGGGATCTGAATGAAGTACTTGTTTGGCCGGTGTAGCCATAATAACAAGTAAGCTTTGGATATTCTTTAAAGTGATTGGATATAATGGAAATCTCAAAAAAAATGTAAAAAAATTGGATCTTTTGGGAAGAAATGACTTGGGTCGAGAACATTTCTTTAGGCTTACTCAAGAAGAAAATTGATATTTTAAACTTGTAAATGTACCACCCAAAAAGATTTTATTTGTCAATGTCTTGGTTAAATTCTCTAGAACAAAATGATGTTCACCGTCAATTCAGAAGTAGGTATCGAATTTTGGGTTTAACTCGAAATCGTGGTGATAACAAATTCAAGATCTTAAACATAGAAGTTGTGTAACCATAAACCTCAGTGGTAATCTCTAAGAATCTAAAGGGTTATGTTTATGAACACCAAAATGATGGAGAATATATAGATTGGTTCTGAGTGTACATCTACTATATTTACATGACAGAACAGTAAACTCTTAACTCAATGTGACACGAGTAAGGTAGCTCGATGACTTATATAATTTAATAGTCTGATTGGGAAGAAACGATTTGGATGGAATTTTCATTAAGGCTTGAACATAGAGTCTGAGAGGCTTGGGACAACATGCAACAACATGCTTCTAGGGACCTTTTTTCTAGTACATAGTTTTGAAATCATACCTGCCCCTTCGTTCTGGATTTAGGTAATGGATAAAATTAACCTGAGAAGAGAACGTTAGCTTCTTAAAAGAAAGATATTTTGTGATTTATGATTTTCTGAAAAATGAAAACAGAAATAAAAAAATACTTTTTGTGATTTTTGATGTTCTAAAAAAATGAAAAACAAAAATAAAGGCAACATTTTGTGATTTTTGATGTTCTGAAGAAAAATAAAAAACAAAAATTAAGAAAAATAACTACGACAAAAGAATACAAAACCTTAAATGAATAGTAACGTCTGGACCATTCCGAAGCTCGGAAACAGTCGAAAGAGACTTAATTTATAAAGGATATACACTGTTTCAAAACAAGGATGAACAATAGCTTCCAAAGCTCGGAACCAATCGAAACTTGAACGGGGAATTCCAAAACATTTCGAAGCTTCGAACCATTTGAAATGTGAACAGTAAAATCCAAAACATTCTAAAGCTCAGAACCATTCAGAGCATGAATAGTTACATTGACAATTATGAAGTTAGTTTCAGAACTCAATTCGCTTCAATCATTGCTAACCCTTGTAAAATCCGATTGAATGAAGCTTCAGGAAAAATCCTTTGTGAAAATGCCAGCCAACTGATCTAAGGATCTAAGAAAATGAACTTCAACATTTCTATCCTTGATGTGATCCTTTATGAAGTGATATCTCAGTGTTGTATGCTTTATCATGGAGTGGTGCACTGGATTGTGGCAAATTCTTATATCACTTTCGGAATCACTATATAGAGGTATTCTCTTCATGTTAATTCCATAATCTCTAAGTTCATTTTGAATCCATACTACTTGGGACGCAAAAGATGTTGCTTGAATGTGTTCAGCTTCATTAGTTGATAAGGACACACATGTCTGTTTCTTAAATTACCAGCTAACAAGCTTGCCATCCAGAAATTGACATCACCCAGAAATGCTTTTATGATCAAGGGCACAACCTCCTAGGTCAGCATCGAAATTAGATTATACAAATAATCCCAA